AGACGTTTCGGCCACAGACTTTGAGAGGAGGAGCTGGAGATCAGGAGGCGTGAGCCGCCGGGAGTTTGCAGAATCCGTGGTGTGAATGAACTGGGGGCACCTGGGCGCACGGATCACCCCCCCCTTCTCGCCCCAGGCCAGAGTTGAGTAGTGGGGCATTTTTTTCACCCTCTTGTGAAGAATTTTTTTATTATTTGTTGTAAAGTCTTTTGCACAATCACGCCCACATTTGGGGTTGGAAAGCCCTAATTACCGCCGTCGCTGATGGACGTTGGAGAGGGAGCGCCTCGCCGCGGAACAGTCGCCTGCGCGCCCTCGCCGGACCCGCGGCTCCCTTGTTGCGCGTCGGCCAGGCCCTGTCCCTGTGTCCGGCTGGCGGGCTTCCGCGCCCACTCGGTTCCCGGGCGCATCCCAGCCCTGCTCCGTCTCCGGTCCCCAGACTTCGGGTCCAGCGACCGCTTCGGCTCCGATTCCCTGCGCCTGCCAGACGCGCCCAGAAGGAACCCGCAGCTCTGCGCGGGATTGTACCCCCAGGCTTAACCCGGCTGCTCCGCTTGGATTCCTCTGCTGCCCTTGCTTTGGTGGCGACTTCCTCCCCGGCCCCCTCCCCCTCGCCATGAAGGTAGGTGTTCTGAGCGCCGCAGACGCGCTCCACTTTTTTTCCTTTACTTTTTTTTTTCTTTTGGAAGTTAACTGAACCCCCCCCCCCAAACACACACACACACAAACACACCTTTTCCTATACCTCCATTTCTCCTACCGCCGCGAGAAGCTGGAACTCCCGCGGAGCTGGCAGGGACTCCTACCCCTTCGACCCCTATCCCCTGCGCACTGCCTCTCTGTCTCCCGGGAGACCTTGTCCCACCAAACGTTCTGCAAACCTTTTGGACTTTGGAGAAAAAGTGGGGAGAGCCAGGGCAGAAAAACTGAGTGCTGTTCACGGACGACTTTACTTTTGCCCTGAAAAACTCGAGTGTAATTTATTATGTATATTTCAGTAACAGGATAATGATTCAATTCAACAAATATTTACCAAGCGCCCACTGCGTGGGGCACCGAGAAGGTGTGTGGCCAGGGCCTGGAAAGGGGAAGGGGAGTCCTCAGTTGAGAGACCGGGAAACCGGGGTAGGGGCCGACTACCCAGAGCAGCGCACCCTCTGTCCTCTGCAGCCGGAGGCCAGGTTGCAGGCTTGTGGTGGCGGGGGAACCCTAGAGTTGCAGGCCCTGCGCCTTTAAGAGTGCCTGGCGGGGGGCCAGCGCGCACCCCGGCGCGGGGAGCAGGGTCGCGTTATTAGCATTATTAGCCGCCACTGGGTGAGCTCCGGCACTTAGCAGCGGTGATGGGGGCGGGGAGTGCTGGCGGTGGTGGCTCTAATCCTGTCCGCTGGGAAAGCGCGCCCCGGCCCCCTGCGCGGAATCAGCCTAGTCCTTTGGAAACATTTGGGCCTCCGCGTTGGGAGAGCGGGCGGGGGGCAGTTTGTGAACTCTTGTTTGTTTTAATTGTCAGTTGTATGTTAAAGCCGAGTCACACACTCCAAGGGTCACCGAGAGTTCACTTTTGCGAAAAGTTAACATTTCTTCCTACAATATAACTTGCTATTTTCCAAGCAACTTTTCCTCTCTCTGTTCTCCAAGTTTCTTGTTCTAGCCTTACTTTCATTTTTCTTGATCTCCCCCATTTTCAGCTTTCTAGAAAATAAGGTTGGAGATGGAATTAGGATGTTTCCTAAAAGCAAACAAATTCCTACCTCTCCCCCTTCCTCCCCCCCAAAAAAAGGTTAAAAAGAAAAACCAAACCTGGAGACCCCGCGGCCTTGTTTTCCTTTTCAAACCCAGTCTGGCATGGGCGGGGGTGGGGGGGGGCTCTCTGTTCGTCTTTCTTTAAATGGACAATTTGCGGTTTGGAAGTCACTAGCCGCCAGCGGTGGGATCGCACCTCCTGAGTCCCTGCCCTACCAACAAAGTTCACTGCTATTCCAACCAGATGCGGCGATTTAGATTCTAGATAGCCTCTGCCAAGGGAGTTCCGAGAGGGCAATACTGAGAGCGCACAAGCGATGGAGAGACCGTGGAAATTGTGTGTGTTCGACTGTGTGGATTTGTGCTCTGCGTGTGTGGGGTGGGGGAGGGTGGGATGGTAAAGAGTCAGTTGTTCTCGGGTTTTGGGCATACTAGCTTTTAGTCTCGCACAGACCCGCACAAAGAAGGACCCCCACTCCGGAGGCCCGACCCGGGAGTCTCTTGCCTTTTCCCTTCGCTCATCCGAGCGCTCTGGTGCACAAGGGGTTAGCACTGTGCGCGCCGAGCTCAGTTCTTCCCTCTCTGCCTTTTCATCCCCGCGGTGCGGTGCCGGCTGCCCCCTGTTGGCTGTCTTGAGGTAGGACGCCTCAGAGTCGGCTCATTGGGGCGTGCGGGTAGCCGTTCATCTCTAGGTCCAACCTCTGGCTGTGCACATCCCTCCAGACCACCAGGTCCCACTGTTCTGGGAGGGCCGCTGCGAGGCCACAGAGGACGAGCTACATACTGTGCCGCCGCTGCATTACGGAAGGGGCCATAGGTCCGACCCATCAAGTGGGGCTCGGGCAAGTAGAGGAGTACCTCTTCTCCAGAGCTAGGACCAAGCTATAGGAGGCCTCAGGTCTGGCCTTGGCGCTCTCACCAATTTTCTCTGTAATGAAGGATAAGTGTTTCTTTCTCTCTTGCCACCAGTTGCTTCCTCTATTAAAATGTGGAACCGAAACTGCCTCTGAAGAGTGGGGGCTGAACTGATCCTTAATTTTCATTCTCCTTCCACCGGACACTGCTGTTCCTCTGGACAAAGTTGAGCGCCTGTTCTGAGTTTTAAGACATTCTGTGTAAGAAGGTAGAAGTGTGTGTGTGTGTGTGTGTGTGTGTGTGTGTGTGTGTGTGTATGTGGGTGTGGGGGTGTGTGTCTGTGTGTGTACACAGACGTCCACACACTCG